AAACTATCTGTTCTGTAAGCCTTCACCTGAAGTACAATAAAATATTTAAAAAAAAAAAAAAATGCAAATGAAAACCAAAATGAGATACCACTTCACACCCACTAGGATGGCTATTTATAAAAAACAATATAAGTGTTGGTGAGGATGTGGAGAAACTGGAAACCTCATACATTGCTGGTGGGAATGTAAAATGGTGCAGCCACTATGGAAAACAGTCGGGCAGTTTTCAAAAAGCTAAACATAGAGTCCCAGACAGAGTGGGAGAAAAATGTAAAAGAAAATTCAAATTCATGAAAAATGACCAGACTTACTGGTCTGAAAGATACTGGAGGAAACCCCGAGACTACGGCCCCTGGACACTCGGCTAAACCGGAACTGAAGCCACTCCCGAAGCCCACTTTTCAAAGATTAGACACACCTATAAAACAATAACACACTCGAGGAATGTGTTTCTTAGTGCAAATACACGAGGCCAAATGGGCAACTCCTGCCCAAAAGCAAGCCAAGAAGGCAGGAAAGGACAGGAACTGGATGAACTGACACAGGGAACCCGGGGTGGAAAAGAGGAGCGTGCTGTCACATTGTGGGATTGCAACCAATGTCACAAAACAGTATGTGTATAAATTTTTGAATGAGAAATTAACGTGAGCTGTAAACTTTCACCTAAAGCACAATAAAATTTAAAAAAAAAAAAAAAAGCTAGCAATAGAATTACCATACCCGTTGCTGTTGAGTTTTTTGACTCATAGTGACTCTATAGAACAGAGTAGAACCGCCCCATAGGATTTCCAAGGAGCAGCTGGTGGATTTGAACTGCCAACCTTTTGGTTAGCAGCCTGAGCTCTTAACCACTGTGCCACCAGGGCTCCTAGAATTACCATAGACCCAGTAATTCCAGTATATACCCAAAAAAAATTGAAAGCAAGGACTCAAATAGAAACTTGTACAACAGTGTTTATTGCAGCATTAACATTTACAATAGCCATAAGGTGGAACCAACCCAAGTGCTCATTAACAGATGAATGGAAAACAAAATGTAATGCATATACATAAAGAGAAATGAAGTTCTGATACATGCGACCACATGGATGAACCTTGAAAACATGCTCAGTGAAATAAGTCAAACACAAAGGCACAAATACTGTATATTCCCACTTACATGAAATATTTCCATTGAGACAAAAGAAGGTTAATAGCTACCAGGGGTTGGGGGTAGGGACAATGGAAAGTTAAAATATTTTCTGCATTGCGTAGCGTAGTACCAACTAACCTCATGTGGCTATTTAATTTAAAATTAAAGTTAAATAAAAATAGTTCCTCAGTTACACTAGCCACACTTCAGGTGTTCAATAGCCACATGTGCCTGGTGGCTACCATATTGGACATTATAGATACAAGTGGGGGTATAAACACACAATGAGATTCCACTTTATACCCAATAAGATGATTAGAATCAAAAGGTCAGATAATAACAAATATTGATGACGATGTGGAGAAATCTGAACCCTCATACACTGCTGGTAGGAACAAAACGGTGCAGTTGCTTTGGATCACATTCTGGCAGTTCCACAAACAAACACAGAGTTACCATATGACCCAGCACTTCCACTCCTAGGTATGTATCTAAGAGAAATGAAATTCTCTATCCACACAAAAACTTGTACATGGTTGTTTATTCATAATAGCTAAAAGGTGGACAAATGGGTAAACAGAACATGGTGTGACCATAGAATGGAATATTATTCAGCCATAAAAAGGAACAAAGTATTGATAGATGTTCAATAATGATGAGCCTTGAAAACATGCTAAGTGAAAGAAGCAAGTCACAAAAGACCACTTCGATGATTCCATTCATATGTAATTCTAACTAGGAAAGAGACAAAATATATTATTGTTTGCTTAGGGTTAGGGTGGGGAGTTTGGGGAGACAGAGAAATGGGGTGTGGGGTTATTTTTCGAGGTGATGAAAATTTCTAAAATTGACTGTTAATAGTTGCACACATCTGTGGATATACTAAAAATCATTGAATTGTATACTTTAAATGAGTGAAT